ATTCAACACTGCCACAATCAACATTATTATCATCACTGTATCCCAGAGTGTACTAGCTGCAAATATATGGAAGAGGCCGCTGCCATATAGAACTTACAATCTAAATAGACAACATATAACCAGAAGAGGAGGGGGAGATGGAAGGTAATGCAAGGTACATTTTTAGGCATGTCTACCCGTTTAATTTACTCTTCTTTGCTCCGCCTGTTCAGCCCACAATCACACAGAAGCTCCTTTTGATCTCCCTTACTGCTCTTGACTGCTTGTCTGGTGTGTGTTGCTGCAGCTTTCCTTTGCTTTTCATCTCCGGCCAAGCCATTTTGAACTCTCAGTCATTACTGCACTGGTTTTAACTTCTCATGTGTTGATTTTTTTCAATAACAAAGGAAAAGTTAAAAGTGCTGCAGTTGTGCTTAACATGGATTATTGCCAAGAGTTTCATGTTCTAGATGGCCATAAGAATCCCTTTTGGCCTTAAAATCTATGAATCTAAAAGCACTTTTGATCAGGAAAGATGGTAACTCTATCCTTCCCCATCTATTTCTTTTTTCAAAGGTCAAAAGACAAGGAGCAATTGAAGGTGATTCCCTACTGTTGTTCTAACCATGTTAAAAATGAAGTGAAAGCTTCCAAGAATCACAGCCCTTCATTAGGCCACAAAAAACAGAGCAAAGTACAGCAGGAGATATAGTAGCAGGGAGTTCATTCAGACCACATAATTAAACCCAGAGATACAGGAGCTCAAAGGGGAGTTGGGTAAATTTGAAAAAAACCACCACACACATGGAATGGATTCATCTCTTGAGCCACTTTCTGTGGATTAGAATGGCAGTCAGATTAAAGATGAATATGGTTTTGGGTGGCTCTGTGCAGGGGGGCACAGGGCCTCTCACCTCTGGTTTGAATTCAGCCAATGTCAGTAAAGACTGAAAGTAGTTGCAATCTGACCTCTGGTTGGTGACATGAGTTGGTGGCTTCAATCCCGTTTCTTTCCTAGGGCCTGATCCAATGCCCACTGAAGTAAATTCACAAGTAGGCCGTAGGTGCTGCCACTCACGCAGCACTTCAGCCCCTAACTTCTAGGCACCCTGCTGCCTAGCAGAATTCGCAATGCTAAGTGTGGCACCCAGGCTCCCTGTACAATGTATGGGGAAATTTAGGTGCCCAAAAATGAGATTCACAAAAGCCAGCATGCTGAGCAGGGAGCCACCTAAACTAGCCAGTACAAAATGCTGAGGAGAGGGGTGTGACCTAAGCTCCCCCCACCAAGGAGTTAGATGTCTAAATCCAGCCCAGAGGGAGTCACCTATCTCCACCTGGGATTCACAGCAGAGAACCCTCTCCTGGAGTTAGGTGCCTAAGACCCATCAGCCCTTTACTCCAGAAAAACCAAGGAGGAGGAACAGTCTCCCATATCCAGGGTGAATGCTCCAATTGCTGAGCCATTGGATATAAAAAGGATGGTGGTACCACCACCACCAGTGTTTGGGCAGGGCCCAATCTGGTAGGCATGCTGTTAGGCAGTCTCTGAGCATGCCTACCAGCCCACGCCTTACAGGTGAGAGAGGTGATGGAATGCATAGTTTGTGAATCCGCTGAGGCTTAGGTGTTGAGTTATGTACTAAGATGCTCAGCACTGTTAGGACTTAGGTGGCCAAAATTGGCCTCATATTTAGAGTGAGATACTTTGCAAGGCATGGTAAGAGCTGGTCTCCCCCAGAGCTTACATGCCACATCTAGAAGCCTCATATTCCAATGTTTGGGATTTCCCCAAAATGCTAATTCAGTTAGAGGCATTTCAGCAGCAGCCATAACACACCAATGTAGGAGATAAGGACATGAGACAAATAAACAGAGTTCAGAGGAAAATGCATACTAAACTAGGTTGCTGTAAATTTTTCTGCATCCTTACTCTACAATACAAGTTGCTAAATCATCCAGATGAGTTCACAGGGTAGACATATGTCCATAGTAATTGCATGTTTATGCCTAGCCTTGTTAAGCTCTGTGCCAGTTCAAAAGTCAGTGGTGGCAGTAACGGATCCTGTAGCAAAGTGAGATGATTATTTACTCATTTACATATCAATATCCCGGATGCCCTTCAGTTCACAGTTCTTTCATAGGCTGTGCTGATCATATCTGAGAACAAAGGGAAAGATCTAAACATGTATGTCTACGCACTGAGCTTTTTTTGAGCCAATTAAAAAAAATCATAGCCCTTTGGATTACCCATAGCACTCGGAAGCCACATCGCCACAGCTGTAGGAGCTTCAGATGCAGTGAACCCTCTGAAGACCTTGCTTCATCACTTTCTTCCCAGCCTCTAGATACAATGTGCCCCTTTTCTTCTTTAAAGCAAGAAAAGTAAAAACATAAATATGATCAACAATGGTACAAAGTTCTCTCAGCAGTATGGCTTCTGTCTCCACACAAAGCTTTTCTGTCTCTCTTGATCGGAGTACAATTCCTCTGTGTGCTTAAAATTCAGGAGCATGCTGCATATCAAACTATATTAGTAACTAGCAGAGACACCCATGTAAGTACTGGGAATGTTAAGAATGGGAAAATATTATGAAATTAGTATCATGGGTCAATTGCAAAACATTGCAAATCTAAGGACATTAACTTCGAAATGACATTTGGCATGACCTTCAATTCCTAATGGTTTAGGAGGCCCTCCTGTCTGACCGATCATACTAACATTCAGAGCCCTCCAATTATATAGGATAGTGTTATTCAGCCTTTAAAAGCTAGACAGGCACTTCACTATTGAACAGAGTTGCAGAGAGCCCCAAAATAATCATTCTGCAATGTCCTGAAACTATTTAGTAGGTCAGTGATGTGACATTGCATAAGCACAACTCGCGGTCTTCACATATTGATGCAGTACCACAATGCAATAGCAGGACATTTCATTGGAATTATTTTGGAGAGCTCTACCACTTTACTGGCCGCACTATCACTTCTGTCTTCTTCCTGGCTGCTTGGAGCCACTATAACCCCCCTCAGTACCTCCACTCAGATTCCTTAGCACTTTCTACATGGTCATGGCTATGTGGTGTGTGCTCCTGCACCATCTGGTCTGCCTAAGGCTAGGTAGAATATAAAGAGCCAGGACCAGACCTATGGATTCCACAACAGCAGCATACGGGGCCCTGAAGAACCACATACAGCTCTACATCCATAGGGAGAGGATCACTCTTAAAGGATATTCAACATTGCCTTTGCACACAAGACACTACTTTTAACTTGTGAATGTACTGCCCTACTCTAAGTCTTTGGGTAATTCCTACACTAACCATGAAACCATATATATGTCAGTTCCTAGAGACACCATAATTATCTCAGCTGGTGATCCTGGGTTATGTCATTTTACAGTCTTTTGTTCCTGTTATAACTTAAAGAATAATTCACCCTTTCCCATTAGATAACTCTTAAATGTTAACTGCTGGTTTATTAGATTGCTTAGAATTGTTCATTGTTTGCACAGCTGAGCTATGCATCTCAAGAGAAGAAAAATAAATACTCTTTTCCTAGGTAAAGTCAGTGACAGCCTTTTAGCCCTAGTGATCAGTTTGCTTTGGTTTGTATCATTTTAACACTTTCAAGGTTGTTTTCACCAAATGGGCTAGACACTTGCTTTTTTAAAAGGAAGCTGAGGTAGTTCTTTATATTTCTAAGTTATTCAATTCAAGGGTGCCAGTGCTGTCTCTAAATGCCATGCAGGGGGAATGGAGATCAACAGAAATCAGGGGCTTGTTTTGTATTTTTTACATAAAAATTCATGATACAAAGGATGCAATAAACTAAAGCAGCTGGAAAACGTTTAATTACAGGGAGGGCATGTTAATGAATGAGACCCATGAACAGTTTCAGTTGCTAAAAAATTATATTCTAGGCAGTGCAGGTAACTACACCTGTAGTTAAAGTTGCCTAATGCTTTCCATTATAAATCCCTCTTTTTAATTGCTTATAACATTCCCAAAGTTTTAACTGTTGACACTGAAATTTCCCATGCTGGCTTGCTGCCTGAGGCTGAATTATTTTTTATTTATTCTTAAATATGTTCAGCTAAACCAGTTCAGCCAATTTTCAGAACAAACACAGTGAAAAAATTAAGTTCATGTTAAACAATCCTTACAAACATTTCATTCAGAAGCTCCAGCCTCTCTATGCTTTGGAACAGGGACTTGGAATTTTCCAGGGGGGCTGACCTGATGTCACAGAGGTGATTTTTGCCATCCCTCTGTAAATCCACCCAAATTTGGCCCTGATAAGCCTCTGAAAATTGCAGTTCAAACTTGCTCAATAGAGACTTGTTAGAGTTTGGAAACTAAATTCTCCAGAGATTCTTTGTGCCCTGAATGTGCTCCAGCCCAGGCTGCAGGGGCTGAGCAGAACCGTCCCTGCAATTGCTGCCAGAGCTGCTATGGAGCCAAGCACAGGAACTCAGAGCAGGAAGACCATCTCTCCTATACTCTTAATGCTCCCTCTGCTGGCACCCAGGCAGTGAGGAGGAAAAGAAAAAAGCAGCCTGATTTGAAAGCACAGGGGTGATAAACTGGGCCTGAGGATGGAGATAATGAAGGGAATAGGGCTAGCCCTAGACCAAATTGCGCCCAGGCGAGAAGCATCTTCAGCGCCCCCTCTATTTGTTAAACTTGTGAATACCTTATTTTTTATTGCATTTGGAGCCCATTTCACTAATTTCATGCACGATTTGCATGCATGATTTATCCCTGTCATATAAGATGATAAATTTGCATGCTAGGATCTGTAAATCTGTATTTATTCATGATATATATAATCAAATAAAAAAATTTGTTTCCTCTAAGCTTATACAAAATTTAAAATTTTAAGAATAACTGAAATGTACTAACATAAAGAAATTGAACTGTGCACCAATTTATCCCATGAGCCCCAGAAAGCCAAATTATTCTTTGCAAGAAAGAGGGTAATTGAGATCATACGCTCAAGCATGTTTCTCCAATGCTGGTTTCTACATTAATAATGAGCTGGTTTTCTGCATCTATGTATTTATTCAGCTTGAGCCTGGACTCGACCTCCATCCATTTGGGTAGGCAGTAAAATTGCTATGTGATTTTTTTTTTTTTATGTTGCAGAGCATCAGCTAAGTTATGCCAGTAATTGTACCCAGAAAGCGCAAGCAACGATTTGGCATTCTTGTAAAATATTTTGCAACAAAACCAGAACACTTTATCGGTTGATTTTGAGTAAACTAGCCAAAGACTATTCAGTTTCTCACCATCCTCAAGCACTCTTTCACCGTGTGACTTTGAGAAGTGTTGTTTCTGCTCATTTACAGGAAACGTCATATCCTCAATTTTGTCCAGTGAATTCAAAATTGTATGATCAGTATTGGCAGAGTTTAGGATCACTGGCCATAAAGCAAGATCTGATGTATTGATTTGTGGTATGCAATTTTTCTCACTGCTGTTTCTCTGATCATGTGAGGCTGATTTTTCTTTATCATTTCTCTCCTTTTCACGTAAACCAGATTTTTCTTTGTCAATACTCTCCTTTTCATGTGACTCACATTCTTCTTTATCATCACTCTCCTTTACACCACTAGGAAAACTGGACGATTCTCCATCACTTTCCTCTCATTTCCATTCCTTATCTTCAGGTAAATCTGCTAATTCCTTAGTAGTAGGATTTCCATCATTTACATGCTGCTCCTCAATTTCTTCTGCACTGGGACGATTGCTATTGCCGAAAGCACGGTATTTGTTATGCTGTTTCAGATATTTTCCCATCAAATTTTCCCCTTACTGAAAACTAGATTGCTATTGAGCTTTTTGCTTCCCATCCTGAGCTCCTGAAAGCTTCTTTGGGGGCATCTTTTATTTTCTACGAGGGAAAACAGACAGTATTAGGGTGAGAAAAAGTCTATGTTCTGCAGTTTTAGAAAGTCATCAAACATTACATGTTAAGCATGGCAAAAGAATTAACAGTATTTCTTTTATGTTGTGTAGATAGGAGTTCAATAGATATCTCTGGTGTCTCATTAAAGATGTCCTTTGTTAGTCGCTACTTACAGTCTTCAGGTCTTAAAACACAAGTACACTTTCACAATTACACAATAAAACAAGGTTCACGATATCACAGCTGGGGTCTCACTTCATTTCACTTCGTTCTTATAGCTCATTGACTGACTGGCAATGCGCTGCCCCTTATATACCCATGAGGGTATGGCTGACAATATTCTAGGAGGTTCAAGGAAAATGTAGTGCTCAGAAATAATCTGGAAGGTTCCACAAGATTCTACAAAAGTCCAGAACATTCTAGGAGGTTAGTGAAAAAAGAATCCATGTACATAATACCTCAAACATTTTATTTTCCCTTTTGACGCTAACAACAAAAACAGCTCCCCAAGCCTGGCACCACAGGTGGTCGCTTGCCCCTAACTCAGCCCTGGAGGGGAAGACTGTGTCCAGGACCTGGGTAGGACTGGGGGATAGTGATGTGGAACCAAGCTGGTGATGAAGGTGGGGAATTGGGATGTGGATCCAAGGAGATGCTGGGCCGGGGAGCTGAAGGGGTGTGGATGGAAGAGCCTGTGACTGGGACGAGGACCCAAGTAAGGGTGAGGGGAGAGACTGGGACAAGGACAGGCTGGGCAGAAGGCTCAGGTTTGACTGTGGCAGGAACAGAAGGGTTTGTAAGCACTAGATACACGGCCCTCAGAACCCGAAATAGAATCCAGGATTCCTGAGTTTCAACATTGATCTGATGGCATCAAACAACTGTGAAATCCACTGGAAAATGTGTGCCTCATTCCCCTCCTCCCCACGCCCCCACCTCCCCCGTCTAGTGGCTGATCCACACAGAGGATAACAGATAACTACTGCTATCAATTACTCTGTTACCACAGGTGGCCACTACTTGTATATTTCCATAAGTCCTGAGCACTCACAACTGCAACTGAAATCAACTGGAGCTGTGCTTTGGACATAAAACATGCTATCAAAGTGCTAAGTACTCTGAAAAATCAGGCCTTGGGAATCTCAAGTTGGGCACTTGAGATTAATGGATATCTTTGACAATTTTGGCCTTAATGGCTCTGGACCTCAGCTCTCATCTGTAAAATGGTGATAATACCATCACCTAAACTCACAGGGTTGTTGTGAAGAGAAAGTAGCTAATGTCTGTGATGCACTCAGATACGATAAGAACACCATAAACACCCAGGAGGAAATTAATATTGCTTTATTCAGTGCAAGGTTTGTATGGTATGCAATAAATAGGCTACACACTGAATGAGAACAATAAAAAGAAATATTGAATAACTACCAATTCACTGAATGAGGCTGGGATCCTGAATGAAGCTGAATGAGGCTGGGGAAAAAACTAGTCCCCCTGCCCCTGCTGCTACCCAGCTCTCTCTCTTGTCCCCTCCACACTGCCTGTGCTCAATAGGGGATCACAGAGAGCACAGGAGAAAGTAAATAAAAGCAGGCTCCTGAATGTAAATAGCAATATAACAAAAGGAGAAGCCGGAACGCATCTTAGCAAGGCAGGTGTGTGTCTGAGAGAGTGGAAGAAAAGCTTCTAAAATGGAGCCATGAAATAGGAGAAAATGTAGATGAAATAATTTAAAATGAGATTGGGAAAGCCCTGGAAAATATGCTGTAAGAGACAATACATTGGCAGGGAGAGGGGCTGCACAACTGGACATAATAGACAAACGTTTCAGCAGGCATCTCCAAATGCAGCGGCAAAATGTGTAGGTGCTTCCATTTGCCTATGCTTTGTGCTTGCAAATGTAGGGTTTTGGGTGTGCAGATTGTGGCAACTGTAATTTTGTGGCAAAAATAATTTTGCAGACATATTTGCTGACCCCTACTAAAAATTTCCTGTTTGGTTCTTGTCCAGTGCTTCTCCAGCATCTGTAGGCTGCTGATGTTATTCTATAATCCTCATTCTATAATCTAAAAAAAGGTTTATATCATTCAGAGACACATAGGTCCCAGTTCTGCTCTCAGTTACACTAGTGTAGTTAAATGTTGTTACCCCAGGTTGACAGCAGTATAAAATGAGATCAGACTGTCCTGAACAGTAACCAACTTCTGCTCCCATCCCCACAAAATGAGCCACCTTTCACTGCAGTCAGGCAACAGGGGGATCGTCCTGGGATTCTAATCCAGATGGTGATCTCTAACCTGGCTCCTGATATGTTGTGCAGAGGGAGAACTGTTCCATTTATAGAAACTGTAAATGCATTTTTCCAAAAGAAGCCCCTCCTTTTCTCTTTTCATCTCTTTCTCAGTCAGTGCTACACCAAGACCTCCTCCCAATCAGGCAGAGAAACTGCTCCTGAGAAAAGAAAGAATCCTCCCCTCTGGTTACAGCCGCTGCCCCCTGAATGACATGCACCGTCTGTTCTGAAAGCTGCAAGAAGCCAGAGGCCCAGGCCAGTACACAGAGGCGCCTGGCGCCTGAAAACCAAGTCCCTCCCTGTCTCTGTCTTCCTCCTTTTGGTTATGGCTTGTGGAGGGGGCAGGGAAGAGTGAGCAGGAGATGAGGGAAGGTACATTTCTTCCAGTTCACATCCTCTTCTGGGACTTTAGTTCATAAAACCAGATGATGTATTTGTTTTGGAAAGACGTCCGCTATTTACAGCTCATGTTCCATTTGGGGTGAAGGCCCAAAGCCTCACAGGAACTGCAGACATACAGACAGACAGTGATCTGGAGGCAGATTTGGTGTCCCCTCGTTACAATCAAGCCTACTGTATTCTAGTGTCAGAGAGTCTTGTGAAAAAGCTGTGCGCCTTCAGTCACGTGCAGCTATCATGCTCTGCTTCCTCCCTGTGCACACCGGGACCTGCACTCTCCTGTTTTGAAAACAGGCCTTGTAACACTTTCAGATCTATCCCATAAGAATCCCTGTGAAACCCAGAATATCTTTTTGAGACTTTGCCAACATAAACTGGAGTATTTTTCTGGCCCCTAAAGCAAAATTTCAACAGGATTCTCCTCATAAAAATACATTGACTAGAACAGAGGCTTTATGATTACAAGTTAGGCTCAGAGAGTGGTGAATTTTATGAGCAGCATTAAAACAAAAAGGGCATATTAGCCACCTCTTGAACAAATGTTTTGACACCCAAGAAATATTACCTAGGGGGGTTGGTTTGCATAGATTAGAATAAAGATCCAATACAATTTTGTTTTGTTTTTAAAGTAAAACTCTACCAGTCTAAAAGGACTAGGCGATATCACTATTTAAACAAAAACCAGATGGATATTCTCAATAGGCCTGAATCTCCACTGCCTTTCAAATGGGGTAGTCATGTATGGGCCTGAGTTTTCACTCATGTAAATCAGCATAACTTCACTGACTTCAATGGAGCTCTGCCAGGTTATACCAGCTGAGGATCTGGCCCTTATATATTTGCACATTGGTTGTAAATGCCATTGTTCTGATTTGGTGGTGTACTACACCCACTTTGCATTGTGCATGGATGTAAATAACTTTACAAGAAGCAGGGCAGTGGAGAATCAGGTCCACTATGTTTATATAAATAAATAACAATAATTTTCTGGACAGGCTTACAAGAGGTCAGCTAATGAAAAGCTGCTGAAAGATGGAGGGCTCTCACCTGAGATAATTCCTCTCCTTTTTAAGCTACTTTTGAACCCAGATCTATCAGTTATTTCTATGTATGTATTTTTTCTCTTTTTCACCCCAGTAAACTCAGTGAATTTACCAGATTCCAGCTGTGTGGACTGTGTTTTCAATTTGAAGTTGTAGTTCTTTGAGGATAATTTCTATGACATAAGTGCAAAGCTAACCAAGTACACAGTTCTTAAAAAAATCTGTAATAGCAACTTTCATCAACTCCCCATAGACCATACCTAGCACTACAAAAATCACATTCCTTTTGAGTTATGGATAAGGTGTTAATATTCTTGGCTGAGTGGAAACCCAGCAAATACCTTTGATATCTACATTGGCTGAGTTTCTTGTTGGACTTGCCAAGCATTCTTCCTATGTCAAGCTCTAGGATTTATATGCTGGGAAACACACAATATTTTGAGGTTGTAGAATTAACCAGTTTTGCACAAAGTGCACTATTTACATAATGGTAATTTTTCAGTGAATTTAGTGCTTATGGAAAACGCTAATGACAGCACTGGAAACTGAATGCCTCTGTTTATCCGTAGAATTTGTACAGGGTGTGCAAGGCAAGCTTCCCCACCCTAATGTGATACTGTGCTTCAACCCTGACCTGGAGGGCTCGGCTGGAAGTTGAATGGCTAATTGGATTTTTATGTCTTCTTTGCTAACAAGTGTGTCAAGCATTTGTGGCGGTGGGTTTCTTTGGGTGTTTTTTTCTCCTCCATATTAGATGCTTGGTTAAAAATGTGGTTTTCAAAAGCATTAAACAATTAAATAGCACAAAAAACTTTACATCTTAAACTAGAACACTCCCCATTTCTCTTCCCTTGATCAACTCAAACCAAAATTCCATTTATTTTAGTAACCTAACTCGGGTGGGGACTTGTTGTGACATGGCCACCTGCCCACTCAGAACTACACTAACGTCACCAGCGCAATGTTGCCAACCCCAAATGTTAAAAAATCCCCTCAAAAATGAGACTGACTTAAAAATTATGGGATTTTTTAAAAAATAAAATAAAATTGGGGGGGAGGGGCTCTCTTTAATTGCCTTTTAGTTTTTGAGTCTCCAGAGAGCACTTGGGACACATTTTCAAGCATTGCTCTGCAACGATGAAGGATAGAACCTAAAACCAACCAACCAAACAAACAAAAATAGCTGAGATTCTTGCATAATCATACTTCTCCAGTAGCTGGAGTTTTAAGAAAAATGTTGACAATCTCAAAACTCGGGTAGTGCTGTCCCAAAAGGATGGGTAGATGGCCTTAACTACCTCATTACCTGTTAGGTTCACTCCCTCTGGGGTATCTGGCATTGGCCACTGTCGGTAGACAGGATACTGGACTGGATGGACCTTTGATCTGACCCAGTATGGCCATTCTTATGTTCTTATGTTCCTGCAAAATGACTGAGGACTCATGCTTTATGCATGGCAGCATGTTCCCTGCTGGTGTGGAGGTAGTCAACACCAATCAGGAGTGGCAGTTGGGGTTGGTTTGTTTTTTTGGTTTATTGGTTGGGGATTTTTTGGGGGGGGGGATTACTAATATAATCCCCCAAAGTGTTAGTGTGAATTTTTAAAAATTAGAGAGATGGAAACTTTAATTATGATAACAAGCTCAGGAAATTATATTTTGTTGGAAAACTACAGTGCAAGGCCAACAGCATATTGGGCTGTATTAGTAGGAGCATTGCCAGCAGATCGAGGGAAGTGATTATTCCCCTCTATTCGGCACTGGTGAGGCCACATCTGGAGTATTGTGTCCAGTTTTGGTCCCCCCACTACAGAAAGGATGTGGACAAATTGGAAAGAGTCCAGCGGAGGGCAACGAAAATGATTAGGGGCTGGGACTCATGATTTACAAGGAGAGGCTGAGGGAACTGGAGTTATTTAGTCTGCAGAAGAGAAGAGTGGGGGGGATTTGATAGCAGCCTTCAACTACCTGAAGTGGGGGTTCCAAAGAGGATGGAACTAGGCTGTTCTCAGTGGTGGCAGATGAAAGAACAAGGAGTAATGGTCTCAAGTTGCAGTGGGGGAGGTCTAGGTTGGATATTAGGAAACACTATTTCACTAGGAGGGTGGTGAAGCACTGGAATGGGTTACCTAGGGAGGTGGTGGACAAAGCCCTGGCTGGGATGATTTAGTTGGTGTTGGTCATGCTTTGAGCAGGGGGTTGGACTAGATGACCTCCTGAGGTCTCTTCCAACCCTAATATTCTATGATTCTTTTATATTGATAGGGTCCCATTCATTCTAGTATAAATACCCTGTGGCAGGCTTCAGGAAACAGTTTGCATGAAAGTGAGCAGTGCAGACCCAGTTGCAGATGCTGTGGCTTGAGGAAGATGTGAGCCTTTTTCAGGAATGCGATTATTTCAGAAAACACCTTCTTCCAAGAAGTTCAGAGATTTAGAGTTTTCAAAACATTGCTTATATCAGGGGAAAAGACAGCATTTCGTCACCTGACATTCTCCAGGGGTCTTTTGTATCCCGCTGCGGTGGGGATTTCATACGAAGTCTGAAATTAATGAAAATACATATTTAGATCATAGAAAATAACACAAACCAGTCCTGTATTTGTTTGGAGAGGAGCCCTGAGATTTACTGTGCTAATAGGTATCTAGGCATTCTTTCAAACACTGCAGTCTTTACGCACACATAAATACTCATTTTGGAATGGGTGCTCTGTGCACAGTTACATCTGACCCCTGTGAGAGCAGACAAGTGTGGGAGGGCTCAAGAAGATTGCCTTCCCATTGTTTCTCCCCTTCACAAAGATAGCTCCCTACTAGTATAATGACACACCCCATGGGTCACAAGCAGGGCTTTGAACCTGGGACCTTATGCACCAAAAGCACAGGCCTCAACCAAAAGAGCTAAGGGAGTAACAGCTATTAGCAGGTAGCAGTGGTCTGTTGCTCTCTATGTGGACTAGCTACAAGAGGAAAATGTGACATACCTTTGCCTAGTGTGTTATAATAGTGTCCTCTGGGCATTAGCCACCCTAAAGTGGGTAGGAAATACGGGAGAAGAAAGAGGACCATGACCTTGTCCCTGTTCTACACTGCTAGCATCCAACAGGGAGGTGCGCTTTCCCTGCCCTTTGGGGTGCTCCAGATGTCATTGTGCCTCCCAGAGCTCTCTGTGCCTCTAAATGTCCCCCAATATATGCTAGCCCTTAATGTGCACAGGAGCTACTAACGCTGTTCAACAATCATGCCATGCAGACAACTTCCAATGAAGCCAAGGAGAATTTGGCATGAGACAGGACTGAGTAGGAATAGCATGTAAATAGCCTTAGGAAATTTATATTTTTTGAGTGGTTGCTATGTGACTACTTTTCAAAGTGAACTGTCTCAGCTTTTTATAGTCCTCCCCCTCCCATCTAGCAAAGAACGCCATTGTGAGCTAATCTCTCATATCTGTAAGAGAAGATTATGATTCTTTTATAATTTCTGGAAGAAAAAAAACCCCACTGAAAATATGCCAAGATTCAGACAAGAATGGGATTTTTTAATAGCTGTTATAAACCTCTTAAAATAGGGGTTTATGGTGGACCAGACAGACCCTTAGTGGCATTGCCAGTTGTCACTAAAGTGTATGTAAGACAAAGGAGAGAATTTTTCTGACCTTTTTATTTTTATGAAGAACCGCTTATTCTCTGACAGCAGCTAGGGGAGTTGAAATGGAGGGAACCGTTCTTGTCATACACTTCTCTGAATTGGGCTGAGGATCTGACTGCAGTCGTTGTTGAAGTGGAATTTAAAAACACAATGTACGAATACATCCCTGCCTTGAAAAAAAACAGAATTGAAATATTACTAGACAGTTTCCAAAGAGGAAAGTCTCCATTTTTAGCTGGATGTGGCCCCACCCTGTATGTATCATTGTTTATTTGTAAGCTTGTTTCCTTTTCTTCTTATCAGAATCTTTCAGCTGTAAATTAAAATAAAGACCCAAGCTATGACGCAGTTACAGGGCTCTTGACTAAGTGATGTGAGGAGTTCTTCACGCAGAGCTTTGAAGCAGGTTTCATTAGATTAATAGTTGGATAATTAGTGGGGGAGACAAAAGATTTCTGTGGTTTTGTGGGATAGTTTAATCTTGGTGTAACTCCACTGAGGACAGTGGAATTAGACCAAGGATGAAGTAGGCCCAGTTTACAGTAAATAATTTTTATATATTGCATTGCTAGAGCACCCTTCATGCTTTGGACGCGAAAGTGATGTACAAATGACAACCACCCCCACGCTCACCTTGAGCAGAGATGATTCTGTACTCATGGTTTGTGGCTGGGCTGTAGGTAGGCGTCAGGATTGCTTCCTTTCCCTAACCCCATAGACATCTTCTTTTGGTGAATCCAGGGGGTCTAAGATCTACAGATTTGGAGGTAGCGGGGAGGGCAAAAGCTAGGGGCAGGAGGGTGCAAGCTGGGAGCCTGGCCAAGCTCTGCCAGATCTCACAGCCGAGCATATGGGCCTAAGAAGGGTCCATTATTGAAGTCTACAGTTTGTGCCCTCTGGGGTTTGTAACTCTCCTGCACCCACCAAGCTAATAAATGGGTTGAGGGGGATTCTGAGGCTAACCAGCTCTTGGGGAGCCATAATCTGTCAGGCTCCTGCAGAATCTGTGCTGTGCAGGGTAGTACAAGTGAGGGGCTGGTTGGCAAAAGAGCTTCCACTAGTCTCCTGGGGAATGTATGGTTCTCGGGGCTCTGTACATTTGAAGGTTGGAACCTTCAGCTTCTGTGAGTGGGATCAAACTCCTGCACTTGACAGGAGACTTTGCAGGCTACAACTCACTGTGTGCCCACTCCCCGATGTGGGTTGTGTAACAGGCTGAGAGTGTTTGCCTGATACATTGAACTTTGGTAGCAGGTGTTCAAAAGGATAAATGGGTTCTGCTTACTCACTGAAGCAGTGGCCTGATTACTCCACTTGGATATATGGTAAGTGGGCATGACTTGCAGGGGCAGAGAGGATCTAGGGTGTGGGAAGAGCAATTCTGAGCAAGGTACTCTATGAACAGACAAGTGTGGAAGAGAAGATTAGAGCTAAACTTTGTTATCTTATTGTTGAATTCTTGATTAATAAAGGCAAACCCCAGTAAAGGGTCAAGTTTGTATTTATCTAGTGCACAGGAATCTGCTTACAATACGGCACAATGGAAACACAACCACCTCTGGGGGGGAGGCTGGCAATCAACCTATGCCCAACAGTGCAGGAGAGGAAACTTGGACTGAAGACGCTGGGGTCAACCATTAGACTTACTGAAAATGCCATAATGGGATCTTCCAACCCTTCATTTTTGAAGAGTAACCTCGCTCAGACTCAGTGATCACAGATGAAGGTGGAATCGTTTGAAGGAATCATAGAATCATAGGACTGGAAGGGACCGTGAGAGATCATCTAGTCTAGTCTCCTGCACTCATGGCAGGACTAAGTATTATCTAGACCATCCCTGACAAGTGTTTGTCTAACTTGCTCTTAAAAATCTCCAATGATGGAGATTCCAAAACCTCCCTACGCAATTTATTCCAGTGCTTAACCACCCTGACAGTTAGGAAGTTTTTCCTAATGTCCAACCTAAACTTCCCTTGCTGCAATTTACACCCATTGCTTCTTGTCCTATCCTCAGAGGTTAAGAAGAACAATTTCTCTCCCTCCTCCTTGTAACAACCATTTATATACTTACAAACTGTTATGTCCCCTCTGTCTTCTCTTTTCCAGACTAAATGGTAAGCATTTGCTCAAGATACCCGACAACTTGGCCAACACAAGCAAAGCGTAAGCAGACATACAAGTTGAAAATAATTCACAAATTGACCCTGTTATTGACCATGAGATTAAAAAGTCTGTTACAGACAATCCAGAGGGTTTGCAATATAGCAGATCAGGAAAATTGCTGAAATGCCCTAAGAGACTGATTGAGATGTATTATGGTTGTATTTGAGCAATGTGAAGGGTTGTTAAGTCAGTTATTGTATTTGTAATAGTTTATTAGTTTAATTTAATAGTGTTTTTTTAGTTTAGTCAGGAAATTTAGAAAGGGATCTAGAAAAGGGAAGTTGTAACATAGAGTAAGTCCTCCAGGAAGTATAGAGATGCCAAATTTCCTGAACACTCCAGGTGCAAACTCTGGTTTCAGGTGACACATTTCCTGCTGAGGCAGAAACAAAGAAGCGCAGGACAGGACAGTTGCAGGCTGCAGCTACACAGAGGAGTAGTAAGTTTTGTTAACTCATTTCTGTGCATAGCTCCTGTTCGTGATAAAGGATTTATCTTGACACCTGTTTGATCATCAGTAAGATACTGGAAGGGCCATCCCCACGGAGCTCTGTGCCTCCAAGCTGGCTGCCAAACATTTGCAGCCTCTTCTGGCCATCCATCAGCATAAGTCCTGCAGAAGTATCCTACACAGGCTGTACTGTTGACCTCTCTTCATATGAGGTTAGTTGATAGCAATGAGGTGATAAACTATTAATGTATCCCAAAAATTCCATGAGATTATTATGGAGGACAATGCCACAGCTGCAGAAGTTAAAGAAACACTGCAGTCTTGTGACTAAGAGAGAATCTGGTGCACCATTAGAATCATGCATCAGAATATGTCAATATTCACACAGAGCAAAGAGGACCTCGGCTTTGAAAGCATCATCCAGTGATCCATGTACAGTGAACACCTTGGAATTCCATCGATCTACTTGGAGAATATAAAGGGCTGAGTCAACCCGGTAAGGACGTGAATTTATGGTTCCTGGGACTCTAGACTGAGTGACCATGAAGGTGTTTCATAGATTTTAAGGCGAGAAGAAACCATTATGATCATCTAGTCTGGACTCCTGCGTAACATAGGCCATACAACCTCATCCAGTAATTTCTGCATCAACTCTGTAACTTCTGTTTGAGCTTTAGTGTATCTTTTGGAAAGACATCCAGTTTTGATTTAAAGACTTCAGGTGATGGAGCATCTACCACATCCCTAACTAGGTTGTTCTAATGGTTAATTACCTCACTATTAAAAAGTTGCACCTTATTTCTAGTCTGAATTTATTTAGCTTCAGCTTCCCAACACTGGATCTCATTAGGCCTTTTTGTGATAGATTAAAGAGTCTTCTACTATCAGAAATGTCTTCCCTCTATAGATACTTGTAGACTGAAGCAAGTCACCTCTTTACCTTCTCTTAGATAAATGAAATAGATTGAGCTTCTTAAGCCTCTCACAGTAAGGCATGCTTTCCAGACCTCAAAATCATTTTTGTAAGTCTTTTCAGAACCCTTTCCAATTTTGCAACATCCTTTTTGAAATGTGGACACCAGAACTGGACACAGTATTCCAGTAATTGTCTCATTCGTGTCATATACAGAAGTAATACCATCTCCTTATACTGAAAAACATGTGGAGAGTGAGGGATGGAACTGACCCTGATTCTTTCCTTTAAATAAATAAATTAATGGAGATATCCTATCTCCTAGAACTGGAAGGGACCTTGAAAGGTCATCGAGTCCAGCCCCCTGCCTTCACTAGCAGGACCAAGTACTGATTTTCCCCCGGTTCCCTAAGTGGCCCCCTCAAGGATTAAACTCACAACCCTGGGTTTAGCAGGCCAATGCTCAAACCACTGAGCTACCCCTCCCCTTTGTTAAGTTGCAAGTGCTGACAAGGTTTGTGAAAATACTGTGATTTGTGATACATTGTGATTTTCCTACCTAAAATAATGGGGACAAATTCACTGCTGTATTAGGTCAGCACTGCTCCATTGATTCCACTGTTTATGGCACTGATTATTTAGGCCCAGGGGCACTGTTCCCTCTAATTTTTCCCACCCATGTGCAGAATGAATTTTGTTATATGTACCAATATGGAGGTGATATGTCACACATCACCTCCATATTGGTGGACATAACAAAATTCATGTGGCGGGGTGGGGCCGAGGAGTTCAGAGTATGGGAGGGGGCTCAGGGCTGGGACAGAGGGTTGGGGTGCAGGGGGGTGAGGGCTCCAGCTGGAGGTGCGGGCTCTGGGGTGGCGCCGGGGATGAATGGCTCACGGGTGGGGCAGAGGGTTTGGTGTGTGGGGGAGTGAGGGCTCTGGCTGGGGGTGCAGACTCTGGGGTGGGGCTGGGGGTCAGGGGGTTGGGGTGCAGTGAGGCTCCCTGGGGCTACAGTGGGGAGAGAGGACTACCCCCAGCAGCACCTGGGTTGGGGGGGTCAGACCTCCCCCCCGGCCGCAGCAGGTCTGGGCTGGGGGGGTCAGGGCTGGGGGAGGGGCGTCTGTCACCCTAAGGAATGGTTCGTAGGCGGCCTTTGTTATGTGGAAACGTTCTGCAAATCAAGACTCATGTGCCAATAGACGCAACAGTTTTTCCCCTTGTTGATTTTATACCAGTTAATACCCATCACATTTTACACTCTCACAGCTGTCCGATTAACATGCATGGATGCACGTTAGCAATCGTTTGCACACCAGGACATGAATTGGATGCACCATAATTAGAGAAATCTGCTATCACTTTAAGAATATCACAGATTCTGAAGTTTATTCCAATTGCTTTGCTAGCACTGGCTCTCATAAAACAGCTTATTCCAATCAGGGAAGCATCTAATGTGGCTTCATAAGCCAATTTGTTCAAGGTAGTGAGTAAATAATATCATACATATGCATTGCTCATCTTTGGGAAGAACAGGCAAGCTCACTGTAAGTAGGGCACACACAGTCTGACCAAATCACAAGCCATCATCTTCCCTGTGGGTAATTAAGGAATTTGAAGGGTTTATGAGTTATTGACATCAC